GAGCTCTTAACCAACTGAGCCACTCAGCTGGCCCTGATTTCATTTTTTATTTAATTATTTATGTCATTTACTTTTAAAAACATTCTCCAAGGTGGTCAGGATATCTTTTGGGAGCCAGTAATATTGATTATTTTCTTTTAGCAGACAAGCAGTTATAAAAGATGGTTTGGGGTTATTACCATTGGGATTAGGACTAGTAGTAGATTGCAATGAATGATCTGTTTTTCCATAGTTTATGCTAATCTGCACTTGTAGTTTTATAGAGAATTTTTGAGTTAAATTGTAACCCACTACCTTTATAATACTTTGTTAAATTTGTTTCTTCCATGGGTAAATATAATTGGTAGTTTATTTTGTTATATGGACTTACATATTGGCTTTGATCATTTCCAAAAATGGTAGATGTGACAAATTCTAGGCTGTTGATTAATTATGTCTTTATCTCTGAAATAAGTTAATCATATTATCTGAAAGGAAACAGATAAAAAAATGAATGTTATGATTCTCTTCAGAGGTGAGTTTAGGGATGATTACAGTAAAAACTTGGATTGCGGGTAATATGGTTTGCCAGTGTTCCTCAAGACGAGCAAACATTTCTAATACATTTTAACGTGGCAAACAGGTGATATCTTGCAATATAAGTAGTTTGTTTCTGGAACGAATTATGCTCACAAACCCCAAGGCATTACTGTATTTTCTTCTTCATACTCTTATGTATTTTATACGAGTAACGTGAATTATTGCAATAATTAATTGCAATTAGAAAAACATTTAAATTTAAGAAACTTTCTAAAGAAATACTATCTAGCTATTAAAAATAATAAATAGGTGGATTATAGTGACACAGAAATACGTACATGAATTAATGCCATTGAAAAAGAACATTAAATAGTACCATGATTACATAAATTGTGTTTTATGTGCCTTGAAAAATACAGGAAGTAAATTTAGAGTGATAGAGATAATATAGTATTTATTAGACCTCCTTTTTTTCTGTAAAAGTTCTTTAAATTCTTACCAACAGAATAAGTCTTGCCAACAGAGTGTTATTGTACCCTTGAAAAATGTCTTCAATATGTCTTTTTAATTTTTTTTTTCCAATTTTTAGCATTTCATAAAGCTTTCAGACATCCAGGTAACATTTATATTCTCTTTATTCATCAGGGGAAAAAAATTTCTTTTTATAAACGGGCCCAAATCCTCGTGGCAGATACATGGAGTGTGTTAGAGGGAAAAGGAGATGGTTGCTTTAAGGACATCTCCACTATCACCATGTTTGCTGACTATAGATTACCTCAGGTTCTTGCTCACCTGGGAGCAATGAAATACTCTGATGAACTACTGGAGAAGCTTCGCAAAGGTTTGCCAGCTTAATTAAGACATTCTTTGCTATACTATGAATTGTTGTTGAGTCTCTGTCTAGTTTCTTTCACAAAAGGCCTCCTTTCCTTAGCAAAAAATAATATTTTTGTTTGTTTGTTAAAATCATTCGTAAAGAAAAATGCAAGGTTGATTAAAATATAGAGAAAATTGCTTTTTGTTGTTTACACTGTGGAATATGGATATTTTAGGAAATTGCTGTTTGGACATTATAATTTCAGAGCATCATAATAAAATGAAATCTTAAATTTATGTTACATGAAGATATGCAATACTAAGACAGTACATCAGGTGTAGCATTTGAAAAGTGTTAATTAAGCTGAAGAGCACACTACACTGTGAAATAAGAGGTACTGGATTTCAGGTCAGGAGGCTCCAAGATCTGCCACTGGGTTATCTAACATAAGTCACTCACTTTTCTAGGCTTATTTATTTACCATTATTGGATTTGATTATTGATTCTGAAGAGTGGGAGCCTTATTATAATGAGTATAGATAATTGTGTTGATGTGAAAATTAGCTTTTTGTTTTTTAAATATTTCTGTGTATAAGAAAAATAATTATATCATACAATATTAATGCTAATTTCTCTTTTTGGGGGTACAGTATTTTCAGCTACTTTTTTCTTTATTTGTAAAAGAAAGTAGGTTTTATGACTGGATAATTTTCTTTTGTGAGATAGACTTCAATCACCCAAAATAGCAATAACACAATATAAAGGTACCATTGTTCCTGTGGTTGCTTCTACCAGGCTTTTATGCTGCCTTGGGCAATCCATTTTGTCCCTGTTTCCTCATTTGCAAAATAACAAGCAGTTTTATGTCATAATGCTCATGTCCTGGTCATTAATTGTTGGATACCTTTAAAAGGGACAACTGTTAGCAATCACTTGTCTGCCACATACAGCCACATTCAGCTGATCTTTTTTTTGGCTAGAGTATAAACTGCTCATTCCTCTCTCAACATTCTCTTGCCTAGTTTCCCTCACCCCCATTTTTCTTTTTTTTTCCATTCAAATTCTACACATCGGTAAAGGCTTAGCTTAAATGTACCTCTTCCACATAGTTTTTCCCTACTCTTCATTATTTGTCTGTCTCCTCCTGAATTATTATAGCACCCAGTTGTCTCTGCTACTGGGAACAAAACCCTGGTGAGAAGGGATCATCCACCACAGTTGTACAGAGTTATCTGAGTTTTCTTCTGCCATCCATTTCAACTCCAGATACGCTTTGCCAGATGTCCAGCTGCAGCGGTTACTGCCTTCATTATGTCCAGTTTCTAAAAGGAGATTCTGCTGTCTTTAGCTAGTTTGACATAGGGTAAACAAACTTTTTTGCCCCTTAGTTTATTTAAGAAAGTTGGATTTTTATTTTTTTTTTCAAAAAATACTTTGACTAGCAAACTAGAGGAGAAACAAACTAAATGCAAAGGAGTATACAGTGATTTTTTAAAAACTATCTTAAGTGGAATCTAGAATCAGGTGGCTTGACAAGGTGCGGTAGAACCTTCCTTAACTGTCTCCAGTGATACATCTTCCAAACTTGAGAATGTGCTACACTTCTTTTTCTTTTCCTTTTTGTCTTTTCTGGATATCTTCAGGACAACCTTTAGAAGGCCTACCTACAATAGATTTCTGTCCATTTTATCTTTAACCCATTTCTTCACCAAAGACCTATTTTTTTTTAAAGCCAATTATAAAGGCTAACAATGCAATTTGGCTAGATTTAATTTCATCACCGTGATTCTAGGGCTGACTTTTAGGCCTAATATATTGGCCATGTTTCTTTCCCTGACTCTATGTTTTTCAGTCCTCAAATGGTTTCATTCTTTTACTTTTTCAGTGTCCATGTCCTATCCTATACTGTGAGTTGCTGTACTAGTTACTTCATTAGTTTCTAGGGCTGACATAAATGACCACAAACTGGATGGCTTAAAACAGAAATTTATTCTCTCACAGCTATGGAGGCTAGAAGTCTGAAACCCAGGTGTTGGCAGGGCCATGGTCCCTCTGAAGGTTCTTGGGAAGAATCCTTCCTTAGAAGCTCTTCCTAGCTTCTGGTGGCTCCCAGCAATCCTTAGCATTCTTTGGCTTGTAGCTGTATCACTCCAGGCATGGCCTTCTTTCCTGTGAGTCTCCTCGCTCCGTTTGTGTCCTCTCCTTTTCTTAGGAGGCCACTAGTCATGGCATTTAAGGCCCACCCTACTCTAATATGACCTCACTTAATTTGATTACATCTGCAAAACCCTATTTACAAATAAGGCCACATTCACAGGTACCAGGAGTTAGGACTTGAATATATCTTTTTGGGGGACACAGTTCAACACTACAGTTATTTATTGCTGTGTAACAAATTATGCTAAAATGTAATGACTTAAAACAGCAAACATTTATTATCTCATTCTTTCTGTGGGTCAGGAATCTGGGTGCTGCTTAACTGGATGCCTCTGGCTCAAGGAGAGAGTCAAGCTGTCAGCTGGGGCAGTGGTTTCACCTAATGGCTCTACTTGGGTGGTGGTATCTGCCTCCAAGATCACTGTTGTGGTTCATTTGGCAATTCTGGCAAGTTGATAATCAAGTTTGGAGGAACTGATTAATAAGAGAACTGAAGAGGAAGAGAGATTTATATGCTAGCACCTATGGCAAAGTAAGGAAACAGAGGGTCACAACTAGTGTCTGTTCTTCCACCTGCCCCAGTGACCAGTGCCTAAGCTCTGGGGAGGGATGGATAGAGGGGCCATAAGTAACACTGCTAAAGATCCCAGGATAGAGTGAAACGTGAGGTTGGGGCATTTTCTCTATATCTCAGTGGATCACAAGGCAGGTACTGTGAAGCTCTTTGCAACAGTACAGATTGGTGGCCAGAAGCCAAATATAGCCTGCAGATGTGTTTTGTTTGGCTTGAACAGTGTTTTAAGTAATTTTTACTTAGTTATCAACACTCGAGAATTAGATTTCATGTGAAAATCAAACTTTCTGACTCTTGTAAAAGTAGAGAAATATGGGAACATTGGGCCTACCTTTAGGCAGCACACACTCTAGCTCACCACTTTTTGCATGTGGCTGCTACATTCCCTTACTGTATCTGCCTGATCGTTATAGGCAGTTGAGTTGATGAGCCCAACACTAGTCTCAGTGGCAAAGCACAGCCAGTGCCCATCTTGAAGGATCAGATGTACCCTGAAGTTGGGCACTAAATAGACTGCCGGTTCTGTGGGAGCTCTGAGTTCCATATTCAGCCAGAGCTGACTAAAGAATCCTGACTCCAAAGAATGATCATGGTTTTCCTTGTTCAAGTTAACAACTTTGATTTCCTAGATTCTCCTTTATGCATCTAGGGCAGCAGTTCTCAACCTTCCTAACGCCGCGACCCCTTAATACAGTTCCTCATGTTGTGGTGACCCCCAACAATAAAATTATTTTCGTTGCTACTCTATAACTGTAATTTTGCTACTGTTATGAATCGTCATGTAAATATCTTTTTGTTTTCCGATGGTCTTAGGCGACCCCTGTGAAAGGGTCGTTCGACCCCCAAAGGGTCGCAGCCCACAGGTTGAGAACCGCTGTTCTAGGGTGTCCCTAGTCATTGTTCAGTTCTCAAGTGGAGAAGGGAGGTGCTGTTTATTTGGCCCCCTAGGAGTCCTCCAAATTTTGCAATATTTTTTTCCTGATGTTAAACCCAATTTTAAATCCTTTCTTTTCAATAATTTGTCATGCTTTCATATTTTTAAATGTATGGTTATCCCATATTCATTTAGTAATTTACTGGGAAACTTGCAATTTTTTATTTTTATTTTTTAAGATTTTTTAAATTGGGGAATCGGGGAAGGGGAACAGACAAGTTGCTGTCCTTTTTGTTCTTCAGTCTAGTTGTGGAGGATGTTGCTTCACTGGCCCATGTTGGTTTAATCATTGCGCTCTTCCTGGGTGAGGCGGTCACTCGCCAACCATTGGACGGCCGCCTGCGGCGGCTCATGGCAGTTCACAGTGGCTGCCAGCCGCTTAAGCTGGTTGCTAGCCACTCACAGTAGCTCATGGCAGCCCACTGCAGCAGGGGCTGCAGCCCACATGGTTGCTGGCGACTCATGGCAGCCCAGCTCCAGGTCGAGCTGTTGTTCACCATCTTAGCTGTAGAGGGCGCAGTGTCACTGGCCCTCATGTAGGATCTGAACTGGGGCCCTGCTGCTCAGAGCTGGTGTCCTGAGCCAACTCTTAACCAACATGCTACTCAGCCGGCCCTTAACTTGCAATTTTGAATTAATGCCTGAGTTTAGAAATCGTTTACATTACAAAAAAATAGTCTGAGGTTTACAGTTTTAAAATGAGTATTATTTAAATACTGTGTTTAAATACTGAATTTTATAGTAAAATTCTGAGTCGATTTTATATCATTGACTATTAGTGCTTCTTGCTGTTTTTTTTTTCCCCTTGCAGGAGAAATGCTGTCGAATGGGCATAGGCAAGAAGTGGAAATCAGAGGGTGCTCACTTTGGTGTGTTGAGCTGATCCGAGATTGTCTTCTGGAGCTTATTGAAAAAAGGGGTGAAAAAACTAGTGGAGAGATCAATTCAGTTCTTCTGGATTATTACTTATGGGATTATGCCCGTGATCACAGGGAAGATATGAAAGGAATTTCATTTCATCGAACACGTTGCATATATTATTGACCCAAAGTGTAAACTGATCCAAAGTAAACGCCTTCATTTTTATATCACACAATCATTTATACAATTTCACTTTGATATTATGAGGTTAATATCACTGTTTATTCAGTCTCACTTAGAACATTATTCTTGACATATCACTCTGTATTTCCAGATTTATCCTTTTTTGCTCACTTGATTTTGACTGTATTTTCCCTTTTTGTTGACATATAACAAGAATGAACTTTAATGCTTTCTTTAAATTTCAGATTTCTGATAATCATACCTTATGTGATTCTCTTAAGTGATAATATTTTATCTATTCGATTTGTATCTTTTCTCAAGGTATAGTAATTTTCTATATACCTTAATCATTGGCGTGGCAGGGTGAGTGGGGGGAAGGGTAGGGCCTTTGCTCTATAAATGCTGCTCTTGTAAAAAATCAATCTTGACAACTTATTTTAAACTTTTAATTGGTAATGACAGTGGGTGTTTGTACATGATTTTCAATTTAGTATACCTGTCTGTATGGTATTTTCAGAGAAACTATTAATATTTTTTAATTGAATAAATATTTTTAAAACTCTTAAACCTGGAATGGATTATTTCACTAAAATAGAATTTACCAGATGTAATTTTAAAGGTTTACAATGAATTTGATGATTAATGTTGAGCTCTCATTACCTGCCATGCACTTATTTCCCACCTTCACCCCCACCTTCCTTCTAACATAATCTTGATTTTTGTTAGTTATCTACCATGTCAGCTCACTGTGACGGTGTGAATCAAAAAAAAGGTGTCCTTTCCCCAAGCACTTTACTGCCATCTGCTGGAAACTTGTCATAATAACCTTACAAATGACAATGCCTGTGAATGTGAATAGGCCCTTCCGGAGTTATGTACTGCACCACCAATCTTGTTAGGCATATGCTGACCTCCTCTGCAAACCTATGGCCTCCTGACACCTGCTGCTGAGGCTTCCTGGGAATTGTCAAACCTAAATTATTATTCATTGAAGCTTTGTCAGCAGGCCAGTCTGACATATCAATTTACTGTCATTAAGTGCAACTTTTTTTGAGTTCTAAAAATGCAACATAATTAACAAATTCACCTTTGGTTTTTTAAAATTCAAAATAATTCCATTTAATAACTAAGCAGTGTTTTGCCCCCCTTGACTCCTAAGTTTCATGAGAGAAGGAATGCTTTTTGAAGATGTTTAGACCAAAAATGGGAGGCACTGAGGCATTTAAAGCTCAATTGGAAAAGTTAAACATAGAATTACCATATGACCCAGCTATACCCAAAAGAACTGAAAACACATTAAACAAATACTTTATACATGAACGTTCATAACAGCATTATTCATATTAGCCACAACGTGGAAACAACCCACATTTGAAGCAACTGATGAATGGATAAATAAAATAAGGAAATGTCCATACAATCAACAGCGTATCATTCAACCAAAGAAAAATTGAATAGAAAGGACTGATATATGCTACAACATGGGCGAACCTGGGAAACATTTTTTAGCAAAAGAAGCCAGATAAAAGGCCACAAATTGTATGATTCCATGAACACGAAATGTGAAGAACAGGTACATCCATAGAGACAGAAAGCTGATTATTGGTTGCCAGGGGCTGAGGGAGAGGGGAATGGGAGTGACTGCTAACAGTACGAGGATTTCCTTTTGGGGTGATGAAAGTTTTGAATCAGGTGACGGTTGCACAACATTCTGAATATCTAAAATGCCATTGAATTGTACACCTTAAAAAGGTTCGTTTTACATTATGTGAATTTTACTTCAATAAAAATAAACTGAATTGGTAACCAAAATACTGAAATGCAGCGTGAATCTTTTCTCACATTCATTTACAAACCCGTACAGAGTTGTTTTGGCTCAGCACTCCGAAAGGAGTCTCTGGGTGTTGGCTTTTCAGCGACACTGGGTGCCGGGCGGGGTGGGGCGGGGCTTGATGTGGCGAGGC